ACGATCGTATTGAGCCGGCTTTGCTCACCTGCCCCAAAGGGACTCAGTTGTTCAGGAACCCAAAGAGAGGAAGAAGGGAAGCCGGTTCCAGCAAACATCCAGTCCCTCTTCAAAAGGGAAGCCGATTTGTAGCCAAACATCAAAAGAAGGGAAGCCGATTTGTAGCCACAAGATCCTCTTCGAAAAGGCTGACATTCCTATGTAAAAAACCTACCGGAGATCCCTGGATCGCGCCTCCTCGGCCAGCCGCGCGTCGTGCTCCGGCTCGCCATGTGCCTGCCGGGTTGCCGGATTCAAGAAACCGATTCCAACAAACAAACATCAAGTTCACTTGCCTACCGCTAGATCCTATGTCATCCCAAGTGGCCTACCAAGCCAGAAGGGCTCACAATATTTTTGGGAATCCTATGGAAAAAACACCCAAGATCTGCGGATCGCGCCTCCCCAGCCAGCTTGCTGTGCTCGGGCTTGCCACCATCATCTGCCTGCCAGGTTGCCGGATTCAGGAAACCGATTCTAGCAAACGGACATCAATTCCCCATTGTGGCAACAAGATCCTCTTCAAAAAGGCTGACATTCCTGTGTAAACAACTGTAAACAACTACTGGAAATGGCTGGATCGCGCCTCCTCGGCCAGCAGCTTGTCGTGCTCCGGCTCGCCATGAACATGTGCCTGCCGGGTTGCCGGATTCAAGAAACCGATTCCAACAAACAAACATCAAGTTCACTTGCCTTGTCCGCACCGTGTGTGCTGGATCCCATGTCATCCCGTTTGGCCTGCCAAGCCGGAAACGCTGACAATATTTTAGGAATCCTATGTAGAAAAACACCGGAGATCTGTGGATCGCGCCTCCCCAGCAAGCAGCTTGCTGTGCTCGGGCTTGCCACTATCATCTGCCTGCCAGGTTGGATTCAGGAAACCAATTCCAGCAAACGGACATCAAGTCCCCATTGTGGCAACAAGATCCTCTTCGAAAAGGCTGACATTCCTATGCAAAAAACCTACCGGAGATCCCTGGATCGCGCCTCCTCGGCCAGCCGCGCGTCGTGCTCCGGCTCGCCATGAACATCCTGCCGGGTTGCCGGATTCAAGAAGCCGATTCCAGCAGACAGAAATCAAGTCCACTTGCCTTGTCCCCGTCAGGGCGACAAGCTCCTATGTCATCCAGATTGGCCTGCCAAGTCGAGGGGTCTGGCGTTCCTATGTAAAAACAACCAAGTGGAGATCCCTGGATCGCGCCTCCCCGGCTAGCAGCTTGTGCTCCGGCTCGCCATGAACATTTGCCTGCCAGGTTGCCGGAAACAAGAAAACAATTCCAGCTGACAGAAATCAATTCCACTTGCCTTGTTCCCATCAGGGCCACAGGCTCCTATGCCAATCACGTTGGCCACCTGCCAAATCAAAAAGGCTGACATTCCTATAAAAAAATCATACCGGAGATTGCTGGATCGCGCCTCCTCGGCCAGCAGCTTGTCGGGCTCCGGCTCGCCATGAACATGTGCCTGCCGGGTTGCCGGATTCAAGAAACCGATTCCAAATCCAAATCAAGTTCACTTGCCTTGTCAGCGCCATGCGCGCTAGAGCCCATGTCATCCCGGGTGGCCTACCAAGCCAGAAGGGCTGACAGTCCTATGTAAAAAAAACATCGGAGATCTGCGGATCGCGCCTCCCCAGCCAGCTTGCTGTGCTCGGGCTTGCCACCAACGTCTGCCTGCCAGGTTGGATTCAAGAAGCCGATACCAGCAAACAAATATCAAGTTCAAATGCCTTGTCTGCACCGTGTGCGCTAGGTCCCATGTCATCCCGGTTGGCCTGCCAAGCCAGAAGGGCTGAGAATCCTATATTAAAAAAACACACCGGAGATCTGTGGATCGCGCCTCCCCAGCCAGCTCGGGCTTGCCACCAACATCTGCCTGCCAGGTTGGATTCAGGAAGCCGATTGCAACAAGATCATCCTCTTCAAAAAGGCTGACTTTCCTATGTAAAAACCAACCGGAGATCCCTGGATCGCGCCTCCTCGGCTAGCCGCTCGTCGTGCTGCGGCTCGCCATGAACATCTGCCTGCCGGGTTGCCGGATTCAAGAAACCGATTCCAACAAACAGAAATCAAGTTGACTTGCCTTGTCCACATGGTGGCCACAGGCTCCTATGTCATCACAATTCACCTGTCAAATCATGTCAAAAGAAAGGCACTTTCGGACATCCCTGGATCTCGCCTCCCCAGTCAGCACCTTGCTGCGCTCTTGCTCGCTATGAGCATTTGCCTGCCAGGTTAAGCCAATGTCTGAGATAACCATCTCTAAGCGGTTACATCGGACATCAGTCCACACGGCCTGAACCGCCTGTCTAGCTTTGGCTGGCTGCTCGTCCTAGCGGCACGCATGGTCTGTCGTGTGGTATGGATCCTGCTCTGCCTCGTCGAAAGGCATCTGCTGCATCATGTGCTCAAGCTCCAGCTCCAACTATCAGAAGTGGGGAGTGCACTCAACATTGCCAAATGAAAATGCTCAATCATGCCAGGCAACTCAAGGGTCACGTCATGCCCTGGACCCATGTGTGCTAGCATGCATACGATGCTTGCGCCTCATCGTGCCCGTCAGAGTTGCCAGCAGGCGCCTGCGCAAGCGCAAAGTTTCTTGTGTAGCCAACGGGACTGTCATAATGGTTCCCCATATCACTCCCAGGCACAAGCGGCAATGTGCTACACACAGCATTGAAAAAAAACCGGCCAATGCTATTTTCGGGCTTTTGCAATTCAACAAGGTGCTCCAGTCCACCCAAGGACAGACAAGCCAGGCCTCGGTCTCGTGCCGAGGCTTCTTCGCTCGCAACAAATCCTGGCAGCGCCAACATGACATAGGACCCACAGGTTCCACAAGGCAGTCCTGCACATTGCCTGCGCCAGTTCCACCAGCACCTGGCACGAATGAGGTAGGAAAGGCCCAGTTCTCACTACGAAAACGGCACGAAGTTATCCACGCCATGTTTTTTCCCACTCAAGTCAAAGCCTGCGTCTTGAAAATGAGCCATTTCAAAGGGAAGCCATCGGACATCATGACCCTTAATGGTCTTGAATGGCCCCTAATCCTAATACTCATTATTGGGTAATGGCTCCCCCTGTTGTGGCTCTTACTACGGCGCATTCTGACAAACATACTGGGCGCAGCAGGCGCACAACGTGTACTCCTGGAGAAGGCGCCCCTTCCCATCCTTCGCGCCCTTCGCGCCCTTCTCACCCTTCTCACCCTTCTCACCTTTGCCGCCCTTCTGCTCGCCCTTCTGCTCGCCCTTCTGGCCCTGCGCGCCCATCCCTTTGCCGCCCTTGCCGTCGTCTTCCAGGTACACTGGCATGAAGTCTGCCAGCTCATCGGCCAAAATGTGCATCACTTCCGTGCCTGAGGGCAAAAACGTTTTGGGTAGACAACATGCTAGGGGTCCTCAACATGACCAAACCGTTTTGGCTATAAACGAACATGGTATTGAGTCCAATGACCAAACGGCTTTGCCCACTCAGCTCCTTCCTGGTCTGAAAGCTGATGCCCAACGTATGCCTCGATGACCTCTTCGATGTGGCCTTAGATGTCATGTGGCCCCTGGGTCCTATGTCATGCAGCACACCTGGTGGCTTCTCACAGAAGGGGCGCAGGACTTGACAGGCCAGGTAGGACAAACTATGCTTTTCAGGTCCTATGTCATGCGCCCTATCCATCAAGCGTGAAAACCATGATGCCCTGATTCGATCAAGATGTGTAAAGGGAGCACATTTGCAACTACAGCCAATGGACACCCGGGAATGAAACATGGGGAGATAGGTCTATATAGTCAAGCTTCTCTGCGATGTGATGACTCGCGCCCGGATCAAGGGGAGAACGCGGAGCGTGGCCTGATGTATCGACAGCTGCCGCTCCATTGCCGATGGGCCACGGTCAAAATTGTTGGTTCTCCCAAGCGGACATGGGACATTTACTGTGGTATTTGTGGTCTATTTAGTGAGCCCCCGCGTGTCCTTCCCAAAAGGACCAAAGACTATACCAGAGTGTAATTTCGACCACCCCACAGATCTCTGAGCCCAGGAATTGAGCCGAGAGGGCCAACCAAGCATCAAGCTGCGCTCTCCGACAACAAGATGTGGATACATTCCAACCACCGGCAAGCAATAAGCGGTGCCAGCTGCACCTTTGGAGCGTTGTCTCCGCTTTGGCGCTACCTCCAGTCGGCGCTGACTCCATTGGCTTTGCTCAATCGCAAAATCCATGGAAAAAGAACACTTGACTGGGTTGTTCAAAATAAGTGGCTCCTTCATCCGGAATCCGTAGTGCACAACCATCTGGCATAAGGATTGGGGATTTATTTTGAACAACCCAGACTGAAAGCTGAGCGCTGTGCTATCGGTGTTTCCTGCGTCAAGCAAAGTCAGAAAACCCACATGACCTAGGACCTTGCACGTCCGGGCCTTCGCCTGCCTCGCACGAGCTTCCGGCGTCTTCTGCTTCAACCGTCTGCATGGCCGCCATGTCGGGCTCCCCTTCGGGCACATGTCAACGTCCGGTCCTAAAAAGAGTCTTGCAATGGACCTGGCCTCCTTCAAGTACTTGTGCATGCCAGGCGGCCGAGCCAAATGCTGATGGACAAACAAGTGGACGACCCTAAACAGGTTCTACCAAATGTTTCTGAGTTCTAAAAGCATTGTCATGCGATGCAGGTTGAACCTGTTTCGGGCTCCGAATGACCTAGGATCCAGACACCAAAACACGCAACTCCGCAAACTTTTTTTTTTGTATCTAAACCCTGATGACTTAGGGCCCGAAATCGGCCAGGCGGTATTTCCACAACTCCTTAGTCATCCCAGGGTAGTATAGATTGATATCTTAGATACATACATAAATAGATTGATCAATAGATGGATACATCGATAGATAGAGACTGAGACAGCTTGCTTATGATCCTGAATGGTTCTTTGTTGCTTCGGAAAAGATCACCGTATTGCCCAACCCCAGTCCTTGCGCAACCTCTCTTGCAGAGGTGTCCCATCGAAAGCCGAACACCCTTCGGTAAAGCATCGGAAGGAAGTGAACATCGCCGCCGGCACAGTTTCAAACTCCGCATGGTCCGAGAAGATGGTGCGCGTGAAGACGCCCAGCAGGTACATGCAAAGAAGTAGCAACACCACCGCCCAAAACAGCACCCGGAGCCCGGTGAACACCTGCGGCTGTGTCTTAGGAAGCCGCGAAATCACAATCCAGCTTGTTTCTCTTTAGCACCCCAGAAATACCTCTCCAAAAAAGACAAATGCCCCCAAACATGAAACCGCAGGAGGGGTAGCTCTGCCTCGCCTTTTGTCTTGTGATATTATGCAAAAAAAAAGCGTTCCCTTCAAACATCACCCACCAAAAAGGGAACCAAAAGGCAACAAGTCTTGAAGTGGCCCGAAAGGCGAGGAACGACTCCATTGAAAAACAGTTGAGAGATAGAAGCAGCTGGCGACTGAGCAAACACAAACAGTCAATGCAAGTGTGTTGCGCGAAACGCAAAGCCACCGTACAAAGCGGCAACAAGACGGCAGCAACAGCGCGTTACAAGGAATGACCAATGATATACGGCCACAAACAGAGGGCGGAGTCTTCTCCAAATGGGAGTGCTTAGGTGCCCTTCTGTACGCACTGATCCCACATGCATATCATCATATCACTTCGAAGGGATGTCAGCTTCTTAGCTTGAAAGTGTGGGCACAGCCAAGATAAAGGCATGCTTAAATGGCCACGGAGGAATTGCGCATGGGGGGCGAACCATTCGTCAAAGAGTAAGAAGGTTTGCCTGAGCTTGCTAAGCAAAATATGTATTTGGAGGGCTCACGGGGCTCCATTCTCATGGCTTTTCTGGACCTGTCTGGCTTCTGGCCGTGTCTATTCGCGTACTCAAGATCAGCCAGCCAAATATAACTTCAACAACAACGCAGTATCCCCCCCTTCCTGTGCTGCGGACACTTAGAGGTCATAGTTGGCGTTTCAAACCCCAAAATACTGTAAAAACAATGGTTGCAACGACTTGAGGGGTCCCCCGCACCCTGCAGCGTCCATTGTTGCAATACTGTGTGTTACCTGGTAAACAATTGAAGATTTGTGGTATCGTTTGAGGCACGTGTGCGACTTTGTGCGGGAATTGGTATGGTTGACTAATAATTTCTTTCAGCCAAAAGCTATTTGAAATCAACATGGCATTGCGCGGGCTGCTAAAGTTAACGGGAAATGTAGGCTCATGCACATCTCTAAATCAGGGCCAGGGTGAGCTCAACGTGTCAACGACATGTTTGAAGCACTGTCTAAATCCTTTGATGTTCCCGGGAAACGGGTCTGGTTCAGTCAACAAGTGCGCATTGCCTCCATGCGGCTGAGTTTTAGGGGTTTCTCAAAGCAGGTGGTCCCTGAAAACGGGTTTCCTTGGCTTCCGCCTACGTACCAACCAAAAGTTGCAAATAAACCGGGACGGCGGCAAAATTCAAGCCGAGCAGGGCCCTCGTCTGATAAACACACACAACCAACAAAAACAGGGGCGACCCTGACCACTGGAATCAGGCGGCTCCCTGTATCATCAGCTTTAGCTCTTGGAAGATCTTGAATCGCAGCAGGCGGACGATACGTCCAAGCCGGGCGAGCTTCAGCATCTTCAGCACACCCACGGGGGACCCATCCTGGGCTAACCGCAAGTCTGCCAGCATCCTTCATTTTCCTCTTCTTGGACCCTCAAAATGGTGTTGTTCCTTTCGGCTTCCCCTTAACAATTGCCAAAAAGGGGTACCCTCAAAAAAGACGAGACACCTACTTGGCTTTTGGCGTCCCAACCGCGGAGCCTATTGCGACTTCTCCTCTTGGAAGTCTGTCTTTCCTTTTTGTCGACCCTTTGTGCCAAGGTCAAAGCGCACCCTCAAACAACTCAGGACTCGTAACCTAAATAATCAGGATTGACTCATGAAGGGGCAAAGTACGATCACTTTCTCAAGTGCTATGATTTGCCATGGTGAAAGAAGACTCCGAGGTACTTCTGCAAACGGCGTCCTAACGCTCCCTAACCAAAACTCCTATCTAGTGTGTTTTGACTTAAGATTTCTTGGCTTTCCAATGGAAACATGAGTGGAAAGATAAGGGAACCCATGGAACCCCTAACAACTTTCTAAGTGGATCGTTGTGATTTATGAAGACCTCTTTGTGGCCACTATTGCAGTACCGGAAAAAAAGTCAGCTGTGCAACAGAAATAGCTGCAGCGGACTATACGTAGTCTAGCGCAATGCCAAATTGGTTTGACCTCGGTTTGGACTCGTTCCGACTCTTTGAATAACACATGTTTTTTTTCTTTTTTTCGACTGATCAGCGCAAAAGCACTTGTAGGGCAGCAGCGTGTCGCTATACCTGCAACACTCCTGCGCTCCAAGCAAACTACCTTGTTCTTTCAATCATCTGGCGAGGAGGAAGATGAAGAGCTGGCCTGTTCAAATGGGGCATGGTTCACTTTGCACCGGCATCCGGCTTGTTGCGGGCTCGTTTCGGGCTGCCACCTCAGAATGCCTTGAGACCTCGCAGAGCAAGACTTGCAACAGCACTTCAGTTGCTGTCTCGGTACAGCAACTGTCCAGGTCAGGCCAGTGGCGGGAGCCTAAAGCTTCGGTCTGCTCTGTCACAGTTTGTCGGGCACTGGCAGGAAATTCAAAGCCTGGTCCTGTGACGGCCGTCACTCTCAATTATGAATAAATCTCGGTTCATCTCGGTCTGCATGATGTTCTACACAACTACGCATCTTGTATTGAGCTTGTTAATTTCACGGCAAAATCCTTACTTTTATGGTGTGTCGACTGTTCAATGCATCCATCGGTGAACTACTGGTCGGCCGCTGATATTGATACGCCAAACTATGAAAAGCACGACTCACCGTGGGCAAGCGAACCCCACGGTTTCATCGGAAGAGAATACATAAGGATGGGAAGCTTGAGTGAATGGAAAAGACTGGCTGGTTCTCAGGGAATGAGTTGGAATGACAAAAAAGCCATCCCCTACTGTGGATGGACGAAATCCTGCACCACTCAAGAAACCCTGGAATGATGATTCCCCTGAAAATACCAACAAACAATGGTTTCCCAGTACGGTTTCCCAGAGGATCCCCTTCCGGTTCCTTACACTGGGACCCTGACTTCATTCCCCTACCGCACCAGCAAGAAGATATGGCCGGAATGCTCTGACCAAGTGTCGTCACCACCCTCGGCGTCGGAAAAAGCAAATTGCAGGGTCATGTCGACAAGTGCCAAGATGACGCAGAGGATGTCAAACCAGCTCCAGTACCAATCCGCACCTTGGGGCATCCAAAAGACTTGCCGCCAAAGGCCAATGAGCCTCTGAAAATGCACACGCACACCTGGCAGCTGAGCTCGGAACCCACTAGATATTCGCAAATGCCAAAGTATCTGCACTTCACAATGATCTCTGCAACAAAGAAAACCGTGAACACAATCTCGAGCACAGTCCATGCTATGTGGTTTGGCGCAATATCGGCACTCAGTCCAGCGATCGCAGCGCTGAGGATGATCACCGCTGCTGGAACCATGTCCAAAAGCAGGAGAAATGATGCGCTATCCCCCAACTCGTCTTCTACCGTTACGACGGACTTTCGGTGGGTTTTGCGGTGCCCTACGTCCCCGTTGTGCTCCTCCGGCTCATCCGGTTCGTTGGTGCCGTCCTGGCTTGGCGATCATCAAACTGGAAATCGAGCGTGTGTGTGTGACAAGCCAGGAGCGTCGGATCAGAGTTGTGAAGCATACCAGGCATTGATTACTATTATTAGTAATGCAAAAATCTGCACTACCAGCGAATGCCAGTTTTTGCAGTTCACCTCCTGGGGCTTCCACTTACTACAGCAGCTAATCAAGGGAAGCCTTTGAGATCTAAAAGGCACAGGCCGGGCCGGCCTACGACAGTGGTCACTGGGGGTGTCAAGCCTGTATTGTGCATCTCAGAATGTAAGGGGCCAACTATGTACAACACATCGTCTTCCGTGCTATTGAGGTAGCCTGTTTCAGTAATACCCCACAGCCCCCAGTCTACAATTAATTGGTCAACCATCCGAAAATTAATATAGAAACCGGAAGGGGTCTTTGAAAGGAGTTTCCTCTGCAAATGAGGCTTGATTTGGGTTCCATGTTAATCTGCGGGGGTCCTTTCAGTATTGCAAATATCATGCTCCTGTCACCATGTGGCAATTTGGCTTAATAATGCCCCATTATCCCATTCTTTCATGTTCAGGCCATTAAGGTTTCTCAAACAAGGGGTCTGTTGGCTGGTTGCAGGGAATCTCAAAGGACCACCACATGTTTGGGGCCCTTCTTGTTGAGCACCACTTCCTGCCGTGCTTTCCTTCCGCCCGAAACAACAAACCAAAAGCGCCTCGGAGTTCTGAAGGCCCGGGGGGGGCCCCACAGGCAGCTTTTCGACCACGGCGCCCGGCAGCTCCAAAGGCGCCTAGCCGGGGTTTCGTTGGTTGGACGCGTCCATTGGCTTACCCTTGTGTTCACATGGAACCCTCCAGAGGGTCGCTTTTGAAGGAAACTCGACTGGGAATGCTCGGTTCCAGGTTAGTGGACAGGCAAAGTCTCATGGGAGAAATAAGACATGTCCAGGTACAGATTCCCTTTAAAACCAGGGGACAACAACATAGTTTTAGGAAATGGAAGGATACATGCAACAAAGCCAACCGACTTGACCCAAACAAAACCAAACAAACAAAAACAACAATCGAATCCGACACTTGGCCATGAATGTAATCTCAGTCACTGGGCAAATATCAGGCCAGTTTCCACATCGCTCATCCCTGGACCATCCGTTCCTGTCTCCTGAATTTGGGCGGGGTATCCCGTTGAGTTCTTTCAAACCTTTAAACCAACCCCACACAAGGATACCCTCACCAACAAAGCAACCAGACACACTCGCAGCCATATGTTTGGAAGAGCCAGGCGGGGGGAAGGGAAACCAAAAGGACAGGCTTCAAACTTACTTCAATCCATGATCCCCATAACTCTGAGATCAGCTTCTGGCCACTGGCAGAACATCGATCTTTCGCTGGGTTCTGAACAAACTCCCAGACATCTAGAACAAAACAGTAACCAGCAATTATTCAAAAACACGTGTCCTCTTTAGAATCCTGATTGGTATGGAATCTGAGGTTCCAAAGGAAGGCTGTTCCTGTCCCACACCTTGTCAGCTTCCAGGGGCTGCGGAAAAAGAGTCCTGTTGAACTGCAATTCGACACTTGTAGGGCAGAAGCTGGAAAAAAGCCAAAGGCAACCGTTTGCCCATGTTTTGGCCCATTGCTCAAATCAAAAGACTTGCCACTCTGTATCCATCCGGATTCTCTTCAGTAGCTTGCACTGGGGCACTCCCAAAAAGAGTCTTGAAAAACATGTGTCATATTTGATCAGCCTCAGACTACGAGCAATTATATGAGGAGACCGCCGTGGCCCCTTTTTCAGCACCTCCAGTGGCAATACGGAAACCCGTTTGTGGTTGACGATGGAGGGAAACCATAGTTTTACCCTGCCTCCCACGTCACCATGGCACCTGACAAAGGGTCCCTTCCTGGAACCCTAAAAGACCAAATCCTCCAAACACGGCCGTTTCAGGAGAGTTGGATGACGGAATTAAATCTCAAGGATTTGAGCTGCGCTTCAGCCGCAGCCCCTTTTCTGCGAACGCTCAAGAACTAATGCAGAAGCTTACCCTCTGCGTCCAGTTGTTTGAAAAGTCTAGGAACCCATGATCGATGGCCCATGCCTTTCGAAAGTGTACCAGGGTTCGACTAATCCAATTGTCCAATTTAAAGCTCTTTGATTTGAAGGCCTCCAGTTGAAAGCTCCCCGTTGAAAGCCTACTTCGAACTTTCGAACCCCCTTTCGAAAGCCGCCTTTCGAAAGCGACCGGGCAAAATTGGATTCGATGCCGATGGAACACAATTTGAGATCCGAAAAGAAAAACATGCTTTTTGAAACTGGTCGTTTGCCTACATAAGAATAAACGTTACCTAGATCTTCCGGGGGCGCCGAATTTTCGCCCCGGGGCTTAGGGCTCAAAGTTTTGGACCCCAAAACAAATAACTGCCCCGGACCAAAAAAACTGCCCCTTGCGTATCGCTCCGACACGTCGAGCTCTCTTATGCAGCCGCGCACAGCGAACATCATGGTTACAAATGAGCTAAGTTGAACCCAACACAAACCATATTCAAAAAAACAGAGTCCCCCTGTAAAGATTCCAAAGGTCATTACCTGCATCTTCCCTAGTGTGCGTGTGTGTGTGTGTGTGTGGTTTTTGTTTGCCCCTTAGAAAAGAAACAGGTTCTTTCTTGGAGGGGCGGTGTTTCAGGCAAGGGCCGGAAATTGCAATTCGCCCGCTCCGGCAGCATTTGGGCACAGAAAACGTGCCTCTCAGTGTGGCATAAACCAACCTGTGCGCATCCCGCCAATCGCAGCAGTTGAGGTGCAAAACAGGCATGCTCCCTCGCCTGCTACCTGGAGCCGCTTTTCTCGAATGTTCTTTTTAGCATGCTGAACATAGCGAGGCTCAACCGGTAATATCGAAGGATCTTTGTCGTTGGTTGCCCTGCCAGGCCTACTTCACATCATATAGGGTCCTTCTGGGAGACCTCCCATCGATTGCTTTTTGGACATGTGACTTCAGAGGACTGCGCAGGGCAGGCAAGGTTCACTCATGACTCATAACGGTTTGGCCCACTGCTTTGTATGCAGGATGGAGGCCTTGCCCTGAACAACGAGCAGATCAGGGGTATTGCCACAAACCATCGAAAGCAAGGGCTGACCAAAACGCTGCACCTTTACCTGAGCGACAGTGGTACTTGTGACAGCCAGTGCCTCAATTTCTGATTGTGGAAACGCCTTGCGTAACTAAGGGTTGAGTTCGCAACGCTCCCAAGCTCGAACCGATTGCTTCGGCACTTTTTGCTGCGCTAGGCAAAATCTGAAGCTGGCCCTCACGCTGCCACCTGCAGCAGGTATTGCTCTGACCCGGTCATGGACAGTAGAAAAAACACCGCGCGCCGTTGCAGTGGCTGGCGCTCGTGCGAAAGTTTGACAAGCCCCCGAGCTCACTAACATGGATCGATCCAATGTGATTACAAGAGCCCCCGGATTTGCGGAATGCCGCATCTTTCTACAAGTTACGTGCTTGTACGGAACCCAAAAGGGAAGACCCCAAAAATAAATTTCCTCTAAGATTTGTTCCCCCTCTTTGGGTCGGGTTAGTTGAACACACATATCAACTATGTACTGGTTTCAGCTAGGTTCGATTCGACTTTCTTGTTTCATGTCATGAAACCCTGAAATGTGCAAACGCGAGTTTCACGAAACCCTGAAATGCGTGCGGCGCATTTCATGAAATTTTGCAACTCTGTGACATTTCTTCGGTCTTCGCGTTCGAGGTGTTCAAGGTGGTGCCCGGGCTGCCTCGACAAGGGTCGACGAGGAAAAGGTCCTCGACAAAAGCGGTTCCATCTTTACTTGAGCCCTGGCCCCGGAAGACCCGACCAACCCCGAGACCGGCAAAAACCGCCCCGGGACCGCCAAAAACCGCCCCGGGACCGGCAAAAACCGCCCCGGACAATTTTGACAGTTCCGGCCTCATGAATCCCATCCGCAAAAACTCATGAAATTTGGTCCGGGGATCGACTCTTGAACTGTGGACTCGCGAAGTGGCAGGTTCATGAAACGGCATGTGCCCTCAATTCATGAAACGCGCTTTCACAGTAACACATATTAGGGTTTCATGAAATGCGCTGTGGCGAATTCCGAGCTTCATGAAACGTGCATAGTTCACAGACGTGACCCTTTCAGGGTTTCATGAACCGCGCTTCGCCGCTTCGCAGTCACGCATGACACATTTCAGGGTTTCATGAAACGCGCTTCAACCTTCATTTCAGGCTTTCTTGAAACGCTCTTTCGCAGGGTTGCAAAATTTCATGAAATGCGCTGCACACATTTCAGGGTTTCATGAAACTCGCGTTTGCACATTTCAGGGTTTCATGACATGAAGCAAGAAAGTCGAATCGAACCTAGCTGAAACCAGTATATAGTTGATATGTGTGTTCAACTAACCGGACCTAAAGAGGGGGAACAAATCTTAGAGGAAAATTATTTTTGGGGTCTTCCCTTTTGGGTTCCATGGCAGACAAACGTGTACAAGCACGTAACTAAGGGGCTCTTGTAATCAAATGGGATCGATCCATGTTAGTGAGCTCGGGGGTTCATGCCGGGCAATGTCAAACTTTCGCAAGAGCGCCAAAGCCACTGCAACGGCGCGCGGTGTTTTTCTACCGTCCATGACCGGGTCAGAGCAATACCTGCTGCAGGTGGCAGCGTGAGGGCCAGCTTCAGATTTTGCCTAGGACGCAGAAGGTGGCAAGGCAATTGGTTCGAGCTTGGGCCTGGTCTCGGATCCAAGGTGAGCATTGCGAACTCAACCCTAGTTAACAGTATTGAAGGCTTTGTCCGCAAGGCGTTTCCACAATCAGAAATTGAGGCACTGGCTGTCACAAGTACCACTGTCGCTCAGGTAAAGGTGCAGCGTTTTGATCAGCCCTTGCTTTCGATGGTTTGTGGCACTATCCCTGATCTGCTCGTTGTTCAGGGCAGGGCCTCCATCCTGCATACAAAGCAGTGGGTCAAACCGCCATGAGTCGTGAGTGAACCCAGTCCTCTGAAGTCACATGTGTCCAAAAAGCAACCGTGGCAGGTCGCACAGAAGGACCCTATATAACATGAAGTTGGCCTGGCAGGGCAACAAACGACAAAAATCCTGCGATATTACCGGTTGAGCCTTCAGCCTTCGCTATGTTCAGCACGTCATGGCTGCAACTTGAAAAGTCCATTTTCTGCGGGCTAAGAAGAACATTCAAGAAAAGCGGCTCCAGGTAGCAGCCGAGGGAGCATGCCTGTTTTGCACATCAACTGCTGCGATTGGCACGGGAGGGGGCGCCTCAAATGCGTGATGTGCACAGGTCGGTTTATGCCACACTGAGAGGCACGCTTTCTGTGCCCAAATGCTGCCGGAGCGGGCAAATTGCAATTTCCGCCCCTGGGCTGAAAAACCGCCCCTCCAAGAAAGAACCTGTTTCTTTTCTAAGGGGCAGAAAAAAAGCACACCGGGGAAGATGCAGGTACGGGTAGGAATGGGCGTTGCACGGGTAAGAACGGGTCTGTTAAAAAATCAAATTCGACAAAAACGGTGATTGGCCAATCAACCTGAGCTTGAATGCGACAAACCAGGATGATTCGATCGAAATACGGCCTTCGAATATGCAGCGTGCATGTATATTGTGCATTTGTACCCCGAAACTGGGGTGTCCTTTATTTTATGCATGGGACCCTTTCAACATCCTGAATTACAAAGTCGAAGCTGTCCTAGTTAGGTTAACTATAGCTGACTCCAATCGGTGTTTTTTGGTGGTGTCCCAAAGTACGTGTTTTCTAAGCCGCGTGTTTTGGGACAATAGTAAATTTGCTCGTTTTGGGTACAGGCCCCGCGGTTCACTATTTCAGCGCAACGTTGGCATGACTTTTGCATTCGAACATTGAAGAAGACACTTTGCATGGGCCTTTTACCAAATATGATCCTTTTTGGTTCACAGTTTTGGCATTGAAGCAACTTTGGTCCCCACAGGGAAGGATCCAATGCGCGTCATCCATATTGGCATACACATGGCGACAAACTGAGGTTTCCCGCTTCTTTTGTGGTGCTCTTAATTCGTCATTTTGACTTACTGATTTTGCTTAGGCTGGGTTGCAAGTCATTATACCGGCTGTGAGTACATCCCTGCATTGCAGATTGTGCCGCTTTCCTGTCAGCCACCCTGGTCCGGCCAGTTTCGGGCGAAGTGAGTCAAGAACGGCAGTGAGACAAAGCAACCATTTATGTTTGGTCGTTTCAGGCCTCAGGTTGAAGAGGAAATTTATTTTCCAGGTACCCTCCCACAAATGCTATGTCAAGCTGCTATGCCAAAACAGAAGACCAAAGGGAAATCGCCACCGGTCTTGCTTCTTGCCATCCGTGGGCCTCGACAGACTGGAAGGACTTACGTTGGACCGTCTGAACCACGGTGGGAGTGAAGTGGAAGTCCTCGTCGCACCCGGACTTGCGCAAGGCATCGTCCATCCGTTTGGAGGCTCGAATCTCCTCACTCCACAGGGGGGGGAAAAGGAAGTTGCGATGGGGCTTGTTTGGCGGGTGTCCTCTTGGGGGTAAGGGAAAAGGAAAACAATCCATTTCCGGGGGACCCGAGTTGAAACAAACACGTAATCTGTCCTCGATAGGGGTACCAGTCAACAAGTTGCAATTCATAGCCACCCTCTTCTCCCTGTAAGAACAGGGTCATACACCCTCATCAAGTTGCCGACCCTCCACAAGGAAACATACAGCATGGCTTGGCACATTCTCGTCCCCGTGAATTAAAGGGTGGATCCCTCAAAATAGGGACCCTCAAAACTCCTTGGTTGTCCTTTTGGTTTCCATGGAAAAGCCAGGCAACACTTTTGCGTCCTCCATTTGAGAAGCCGCCACCATCACCTGCCCTGAATGGAAAGGTTGCCCACCGAACCATGTTTCGAGGCCCTGAGGACCAGCGATGGTACCAATGGGTTGGCTTTGAAGGATTTTTGGGTCTCGGTCCCTTTTTCAAACTATTGGTGTGCCGATCCTGGGCTTTCCCTTTGAAGAAGATTCAGCCCGAACTAGCCCAGAAAAGGGGAGAAACTCGCAACCCCTCGAAACCAGTGGAGGGGGAAAAACACTCACTTGGAGAAAAGCACACCGACTCACATGGCCAAAACCTTCCTTCCCTTTAAAGCACAGTTACTTGGCTATGGGTCAAAACTCCTGTACCCTGGTGACAATCCCCACTGAAATAGACCAAAATGGGTGGTGCACCTACCCCAAAATGGCACCATTGGTTTTGACCCACAGCCACCTGGGAAAAACCTAAGAAGCACAACATGCCACTGCATGCAGTCTGGCTTCGG